TTTTTTTGCTTGGCACATTCCAGCCACTTCCACCTGGTGTGATGCTCCCACATTGCCACGGGTTACCAGGTGGTACAACGCACCCCGCGACCTACCAGCGTTGACTGGCCTTAGCCATCCTCCTCAGGCCACTGAAAGTGACGGCAATGGGATTAGAACCCAGCACCTACTTGGTGCCGCTCAGGCATGAAACCCCCTGAGCTAGCCGATGGGACGATAGAGACGGGCATACTATCCTCTTCCCTGAATATAGTGTGATGTCATCATATGGGCATCTGACGCTCAGGTGGCTATTTGTGGATCCACATTGCATTTCTGTTTTGTTTCTTGAACATCCAAATTTTTGAATTGTGGCAGGATTTCGCACAGCATGCTACCCTCTGCCCTGGATAGAAATGCGATGTCATCATATCTGAGCGAATTGGGAAACTGGTAGGAGCTAGTTGAAGAATACATAAAGGAGAAAGTGGCTGGAACCATCACCTGAGCAGTGAGGCAGAAGGGTGGTGCAGCACTATGCTGATCCCATGGAGCGATCATGTTTGCTGTGAGAAGAAAAGCCTCGCATGAACTTTCCTCATCTGCTTGTATCATATCTGCATATGAGCTGCATGTGGCTTCCGATGGTGGCTGGATTTAGCACGGCATGCTACCCTCTGCCCTGGATAGAAAGGTGATGTCAGCGTATCTGCATCTGACCTGTAGGTGGCTGTCGTAGATGCATCGAACAATTCTGTTTTTAACTTTTTGTCTCTGTTGATGTGTGGATGGACTGATACTCTGAGAGACGATTGTCGGTGGCTGCAGGAACGCTTGATGATGTACTCAATGGCAGCGACAGTGAGTTGGGCGTGGCTAGGAAGGACCGAGATGCACCCACCACGCCGGGGAGTGGGAAGGCAGCAAAAGGGGGAAGGCATGGAGTCAAGCAGAAGGACGAGGAAGATAACGGCTCAGAGATGTACAAATTTAGTGGTGGCGAGAGTGGGGAAGAGTACACTCCCACGTCGAAGAAGGCGAAGGCGGGTGGAGGAAGCAGCGGGAAGGGCCCTGGAAAGGGTGGTAGAGGCGGTGCAAAACAGTCAAAGACAGAGAAGGACACTGTACGTCGTGGTCCAGTGGGAGCTGGACGTGGCAAGGGCGCACGGGCTGCAGCAGGAAAGGCCTCCAGAGTAAAGGGCAAGTCGAAAGGGAGTGGTAAGCCTCGTGGAAAGAGTAGAGGCTCAGGGGGTAAAGGGAAGGAGGGGAAACAGAGAATAAAGGAAACTTTCAAGGGCTTGGGAGAAGATGACTAGGTGAGGAAGAGTTCTTGAGCCACAATATTATGCCGGGCCTTCCAGCCCAGACTGGTCACATTTGTATGTCTCCTTTAGTTTTGTTTAATTGCAGTGAACCGTAGAGGGAAGGAGGGAAACCAGAGAAAAAAGGAAACTTTCAACGGCTTGGGAGAAGAGGACTACGCAAGGAAGAGTTCTTCTTCTTGCTAGCGCCTCTTGTGAACCACAATATTGTGCCGGGCCTGCCAGCCACGACTGGCGACATTTGTGTGTCCCCTTTACTTTTGTTAATGTCAGTCAACCGTAGAGATTTAGTCAGAGTGGAAGGAGTAGTACTCAGTGCAGCTGAAGTAAGCAGGTGTGTTGTTAGTCTAACTAGGTTTGCTGGCCAGCAAGCCTAGACAGGTTTGTGCTCAGGAAACCAGCACAAACTTCCACAAAGTTATTTAAGCTACCCTGGACCTTGGAGAAGATTGTAATGTTATTGACTTGAATGAGACCTCTCCAGTAAGCTCCCGAAGGCCTGAGCAGGGCCCAAGCTGAAGAGGGGGAGGTTACCTACCCGCTTCTGGTGCGGCCGCACCAGTTACGCTTGCCATTTGAATGTTTTGACCACAAGTTGACAAGAATGAGGTGGTCAATCTTGTCAATTTGAATCAATCATAATTATTTTGCCATTCCCTTTGTTGAAGAGAAGGTGCAGGAGGCGGTATAGAATGTGGCTCCCATGAAATGAGGGGGGGGGGGGCCTTGAAGAGTTTTGTTGACTTGGGACTCCCACGGAACCAAACTACAGGGTTGATGAGATCGCGTGTGGTCTGCTGGCTAGGTTTCGCTCATGGTTATGGTGCACCTGCGCGGTGTGCTGTCTAGTGTGCGACAAAATGGTGCAGCGCCTGAGAAATGAGAAAACATGCACTAGCGATATGTACAAAAGAAGCTTGAAAAGGGAAGTTGACTGACTTTGGGCATCCTCGCAGGACTTTCTGGACTGAATCTGGCTAAAATCACTCTCAGATACGTTCAGGAAAGACCAAGTGTGAGCACGCCCTTACTACTCCAAGTTTGTTGAGGTGTTTGCAGGACGTTGCCGAAGCCGGGTAGTGGTCCCGGACCCCGGTACCTTATCTCAGTTCACAGAACAGGTCATCAGTTCTATTGTATCTGGGACACTGGGCCCGATTCCCAGCAGGTGCAGGCCCCCACCAATAGACTGGGGGAACCAGCGCTAGGCTTACTAGGGGAGGCTGCTCATATCACTCCCACTGGTAGGCTGAAGCCGACTATGTTTCCAAAAAAAAAAAAGCAGGTTGTTGTCATGCTATGCATTTTGAGTTGTTGATGTCCTCTCCATCTTCTGTTCATGCATGGTGTGGTGCCAGCTCTAAAGCTTTTCATGAGCTATATCATGCATTTGTAGAAATTATGGCCTGGGATGATGAAATGTTGCATTGAAATAGAAAGAAACTGGCAGATGGGGATGCATTCGCCCGCTGCTTTGCTCTCCCTTTTTTCATTCTTATGTGCCCTATGCGTCCTCGTTTCATTCGTTGCTTATTGCTTGCCCTGGCTTCCTTTCTTTCGTGTGTGTGTGTGTTTGTGTGTGTGTGTGTGCGTGTGTGTGTGTGTGTGCGTGTGTGCGTGTGTGTGTGTGCGTGTGTGTGTGTGTGCGTGTGTGTGTGTGCGTGTGTGTGTGTGTGCGTGTGTGTGTGTTGTTTTAAAAGACCCCAGATTCTCTCTCTCATTCCCTTCACAAATCATCACAAGCCATCCAGAACGAAAAAGTATAGATAGGCAATGTAATAGAAAATGCAAGGTTGGCCACGTTTGTGTGGTTCAGCGCCAAGTGCCCACACACCCGTCTGCCGCCAAAGCGGCACACTTGCACATATACATATGTATACATATATATTTCAAACCATAAGGGGATGGAGAGCAGAAGGCAACTTACCTAAGACAGAAGACTACTCCAGCAAGAAGGCACCGACCCTACCCCCTCAAAGGACCGAAAAAACTTGGAGAGCCTTCCGCATCGGCCCACAAAACCAAAAACTCATTTACCAAAACAATCAAATATAACAGCATTGGCATTCCCAACATTCATCTCAAACTACACGCTCGCATCACTGCCAAAAAGGAGGAAGACGATAAGAGACAACTTACCTAAAACAGAAGACTCCTCCAGAAAGAACGCACCGACCCCCCCTGCTAAAGGTCCGAAAAAACTGGGAAAGCCTTCCACAGCGGCCCACAAAACATACATTCCCCCTAAAGAACACTTGTGGCCACCCGTAAACATCCAAACATCCCATGCTCTAAAGCAGGGCAAAGAATTAGGCCGTGTGTGTGTGTGTGTGTGTGTGTATGTGTGTGTTCGGAAATGATCTCACGGCGCATCCGCCATGCTACTCCACTCTTTCAGTGGTACACCAGGTCCACCCATAGCCCATCACATGCCATTTTAACTGCCACCCATCCATGCTACCTTGCCAGCTTAGAATGACAGACGACACACAAACAAACCAAACAGGCAAACCACTGCTGCCGCTTTACTTCTCTGAAGCTACCTCATACATCCGTGGCTAACCACAACCAGTTTTCTAAGTCCCACATAGGATGGAGGGCATTGGGGAGGCGGGAGGGCAGATGACACACAATGAAAAGGCATGACGTGATAAGGCATGGGATGACAAGCAACAGCAAAGGACAAAGGCTGAAGAGGTGGAAGGGCAGACGACACACAAGCACACCAAGCAGGCGGGAGGGCAGACAACATGCAAGCACATGAAACAGGGAAACAGGAAAAAATACAAGTCCCAAAAAAATCAGAAGACCGAAAAAAATAAAAACTGATGATAACAAGATTGTTTCGTCGGAGTTGCACCGACTCATCAGGAGGCTGAACCCTCGACAATCTGCGGAATACCCGTATTTGATGGTTTGGGTCATGAACCCTTTGACCCATGTTGAAGGCAGACTGTCCCCAAGCGGGACATAGCAGCGGGCAGCAACCCTGTGGAGCACCAGGCAACACGGCTGCACAACGCCAAAAACGACTGCAAGGAACGCCATGGCACGCAGGGCATGCAGCCGTGTCGTGAAGCACAAGACGACACAAGCAAGGCAACAGCACTGCAGGGAACGACAGGGCGAGCGGACCAGCAGCTCGGCAACCGTGGAGCGGAGCACAAGGCACCAGCAACAAGGCAACCAACTTACAGGGCACACAAGCGGCAAACCCGGAAGGCACGCCCAGCGGATGAGCAGCACGGCAGCGAAGCAGCAAAGCGCAAGGCAACACCAACAACACAGCCACACTGCACAGCGAACACATCAACCTGCAAAGAACACATGCAAAGCAAGTGGGACAGGCAGCAGGGCAACGGCAGAGTGGAGACGAGGACGTCCACACATCCAACACAGAGCAAAGCAGCACATGACCTACTCACATCACGATTGAACCCCGCAGACTGTTGGTTCCCACCACCCGCTGAGCCAGGGAGACACTCCGACGACCATCCCTCACCACCGACAGGCAACACAGACATCCCGAACCGAGTAGGCACTCCAAACGAGGAACCACCGACTGTTTGGCACTGCTAGAGGGTGCTCGGATAGAGACACAAAAAACACTAAGAAAAATAGGAGAAAGAGGAAAAACAAACATACCTAAAACTGATTGTGTGTGTGTGTGTGTGTGTGTGTGTGTGTGTGTGGCTGTGTGTGTGGCTGTGTGTGGGTGTGAGTGTGCATGTGCGTGCGTGCGTG